CTGAGACCTAGGATACCTCTTGTATATGTCTTTAATGATGAATATGAAGTTTTAGAAAGATCCATGAAGGACTGACTGAATGACAAGGAAAATGACATATGTGTGAAAAGTGACAATTGACATCTTTTGACGCAAAGTCATATTTATATATAGTACAAGTCAAATATTTCATTGAAATATATAGTATACATGGTAGACTACTAAAGGAACCTATACTACATACTGCCCTGAGGTTGGAGGGTGGTGGAAGGGGTGTGGTGTATATCTGAGTTGACCTAGCATTAAAGTCCTACCACTACCCAACTGACCATTTTCGATGTTTTGGGTCTTTGAACTTTCCCACAATCAATTTCTTATCTATTTCACTTCCTCAGCACTCAATTTTGGTTGGATTGGTTTGTAAATTTAGCCATATGATACTGAATATATTTGAAATCTACTCCAAGTGTCTGATTATTAAATTTCGATGTTTTGACAATATGGCCTCCTTATCAGTAGCAATATCATTTGTACACCAGATCTCAAATTTGCGCCCTATGTAGGGCTGATCCTCATCACAAAAAGCAAGTATATATGCTATTATAATGATACATGAATAGGCTGGATTATATATGTAAGAGCAAGCTACTGAAAAACATCAAAAATGTCAAAAATATGTTTTTCTATGTTTTTGTTTCTGTAGCAAGATCCTATGTGTGTCCTGGGCCAGCTATATGATCAATATACTCCAAATATACATAAGAATAGACCCCCTACCTCAATTGAGGTCCGGTCCTACAGGAAAAAATTTCACAGGGGGTAAACCACCAGGAGAGGGGGGGGGGACACCATGCAACAGGGAATTATCCTATGGTCCTGGGCTCCTGATACATTGTTCCTACTGTTGAATAGATGCTGGAGATAATTTTTCCAAGTCCATCCATCTAAAAATAATCAAATGGGAACATATTTTGTGTTTTCCTATATATATGCTATATCTATTGATGTAGGACGCCTCAGGGGGTCAAATAAAGATGGGAATGTCTCCGTATATACTCATAAAGATGTTCTGAATATTATATAACACTTCCCCATCAAAGGGGCAAAAATGCGAAAGTGTTTTGTATCTTACCCTATGTTTAATTAGGCAATGGCATGGGTATGGGTAACCCACGCGGGTCAGGGGTAAGGGTACCGGTGGGTATGGGTGCGGGTCCAGAGTACCTGACCCGCGCTCTCAACTGGACCCATGACATACCCGAACCTACGTTATAGCGTGCAAATCATGCTCAGAAGTATTGTACATGTCAAACTACAAACTCTAATGTAAAATTAGCAAATGTATCATCATAACTTATGAGCCCCCTTGCAAAACTTGACGATCTCTCACTGTCACCATGCACGAGCCCAACACTACCAAACGAGTACCCAAGATCTCCGTCAAAGCCAAAGCTGCACTGGAAGACACAACATCCAATAAACAAAATGCTGGATCTAGTAATGGACTCGCGGACAGCACAAAGGTCCAACCAAAGAAAGTAAAAAACCAACCAACCCGCTGGAAAGAAGCCCGCCACACATAAAGATAGCCCCGTGATAACGTTACCTGCACAAAGTCATGTTAGCCTTCCTGCAACATCACGTCGTGCTTCTGTCATGAGCGAAGAAGAAGAAAGCGCCTTACATGCTGGGAGTACAATTATCCATGTTGGCCTTGATGGCAGTGAAACTGAGAGCCAAGCTGGTGTTGAAGGTCTGCAAGAGGACACCAACAATGCGAGTGCCGAAGAAGATGCTGAAGCTGAACTCGGTATGATACTGTAAAAACAACCATAGTCAAAATCTGACACGACAAAATCTAGTGAGACTTACAAAAGATTGGATTGCCCCAATTTACTCCTTCTTCAACCCTGTTCCTGTGATCGGCCATGTCAACGGACAAAGATTCCATGCATTCAGTTGTTGCGCAAAAGGGTGCAACCAATCGATTTGTCGTTTCCTCAATAAAGCAGATGCGAAGTCCACAAGCAATATGCGGAAACATGCTAAAAAATGCTGGGGAAGAGAGACGGTTGAGATTGTTGATAAAGCCAAGAATGCAACAGTTGCACGAGAATCAATTATCGAACCTCTCCGTACAACAGGTTCAATCACGGCAGCTTTTGAAAGGAAGGGAAAGGGGAAGGTAACATACTCACACAGACAGCATACAAAAACCGAGAGCCGAGCCGAAATAGTGCGATGGGTATCAGAGAGTGTGTGGCCATTCAAAATTGTCGAAGACCGTGGCTTCCAGTCGTTGATGAAAACAGGACGGCCTGAGTGTTATATCCCATCAGCGTCAACAGTGTCACACAACGTCAAGCTCGTTTTCGCGCAAACACGCAAACGAATTGCAAGGATGCTGCAGGTATGTCAATGATGGCGCGGACCACACAAAAAACTCACTCTGGGCCAATAGAACTATGAGGGCAATCTCAATTTTGCAACGGACGCCTGGACATCTCCGAATCACAAAGCTTTCGTTGCTGTGTCTGTTCACTTTGTCCAAGACGGACAACCCTTCAGCTTAATCCTCAATGTCGTCGAAGTGGCAAAGTCCCACAGTGGAATCAATCTTGCTGAGGCATTTGCCAATATACTGCAAGATTTCAGCATATCAGACAAGGCATGTGCAATACAATCATTGTATTGAATTAAAATTGACACTCACAAAGATTCTGAGTGTTACATGCGATAACGCATCGAACAATGACACAATGGTCAACGAGTTGAGTGATTTGCTCAAGGACTTCCCAGGAGAAACGAATAGGACACGATGTTTCCTGCATATTGTCAATCTTGTGGCAAAAACACTGATCCGACAGTTTGACGTACCTAAAGCGAAAGCGGACACCATTATGGACGAAGCAGAGAAGCAACTCCAAGACCTCGCAAAGGATATTGATGAGTCAGGACCAAATGGGAGAGATGACGAAAGAGACGATGAAGAGAAAGACAACATCGAGGGATGGGTTGATGAGATGGAGAAACTGCCAGCATGTGAATGCCAGGCTGTGCGAAAGAGTATTGGACCTATAAGATTTGTACTTGTAAAGGTTAGAGTGATTTCCCGCTTATAACAAAACAAAGTACTCACCTTTCGGTAGCTCCATAAATTAGCCTTCAAGATCATACACTCGACAACGAAACTTCTTCCAGCGTGGTACAATGTTCTCAACAAGTGCAAACTGAGTCAGCACATCATGCCACGTGATGTTGCAACCCGCTGGAACTCAACATTCGACATGCTCACCTTTGCCCTTGAATATCGTGAAGCTATCGATATAATTTGTGCCGACAAGAACATGGAAATTTGCGACTACGAGCTGAGTGAGAAGGAATGGGAGCTTGCACAACAGTTGTGTGATGTTCTAAAGGTACGCTTCGCATTCTCACATTGAAGTTCAGCGCCAGCACTAACACTACATAACACCAGATACTCAAGGACACCACACTATTTTTCTCTCGATCAACGCCGAATCTTGCAACCGTAATCCCTGCAATGGACATGATCGACAGAAAACTCACAACAGACTCTATCACACGCACTTATGAGCCGGCTATTCGAGCGTCCCTCGGACTGGCAAAGAAGACACTCAACTGCTACTATAGTATGACTGACTGGTCAGAAGTTTATCGGATTGCAATGGGTGAGTCTTTTGTTATTTTGTCTTACTATGCTACAAGTCTATTTTACTGACAATGACACTTCCAGTACTCCACCCTCGACATAAACTATCATATTTCAAGGAGGCTCAATGGGGAGCTCAATGGATTCAAGCTGCAGAAAGTATCGTTCGCAAGGAGTTCGAGCGCTCTTACACAAGCGCTACTGATAACACTGACTTAGATGATGCCATGGATGAGCACGAAGTCCAGGAAACATCAGCAGTATGTACATATTCTCTTGTCTAACTTTACTGTTTTCTCACTATTTGTTTACCAGCGCAAATCTCATAACATCTTTGACGAGCTTCCAGCATTAGCTGCACCCAAGCGGTCAGAGCTCCGCAACGAGCTCGATTCATACCTCAGCACAGATCCGGAATACGTCGTGGATGTCTTAGCTTGGTGGACTGAACAGAAGGCAATGTACCCTCAACTCTCCCGAATGGCCTTATATTATCTGTCAATTCCTGGTGAGTTTTTTTTTGAGCCTTGTGCCTGTCAGCAACTCATCTCATTGTTAAATGTAGCGACATCAGTTGATGTGGAGCGAATTTTTAGCTGCGGCCGTCTCTTGTTATCTCATGTCCGCAGTCGCCTATCTGCCCAGTCTGTTCGTGCATTACTTTGCTTAGGTTCATGGAGTCTTTTAGGGTTGGTCAAAGACCAAGATGTTATGGCTGTTGCTGTGATGCCTGAGGTAGTTGGCGAAGAGAATGAGCTTGACGACGGATGGGATTTGATTCAATTGTAGTTTGTATTGCCAGCAATGTAGTACTTGTCTAGTTAAACTTGAGTGCATACCCATGGTACACCTGAATACCCGTGTATCCGCACCTGTACCCATACCCAACGACACGGGTATAGTTTTGCATGGGTATGGGTGCGGGTACAGCACGAAATACCCATGGGTTACCTGTGCTATTGCCTAGGATTATGTATATGACTTTATGGATAGTAGTCCAGTTTTAATGTATGAAATCAACAGTATGGGCTGAGCTAGCGCCAGATTCTGTGAAAAGAGATTTGTATCTGAACAGATTCAATAGATTCACATGGCTTTATGATCGGGCCTTGGTAACAACAGGACAAGCCTAGTTTGCTGTATTTCCAGGCCCATGGTGCCAAAGTACCTGCAATTCCAATCGAGTTAAGTGATGGTTCATACCAATGAGAAAGTCTTATTACCTTTGACTTTCAAAACCCCAAGAATGGCTTGCCCGAACCCAGTTCGCTGCCCCGTTAAGGTACTCCTTGACTAGGACGTCAACAGAAGGTCCTCATGAAGGAACTTTCGCAAGACCTTCGATGAATCATTTCTGAACTTCGGTGTGATAGTGCGCTGCCCAGGCCATTGCACCACTTATGTCGAGGCCAAGTTCAACCATGACAATACTGATCATGCTATGACCTTCGTTCCCAACTGCTTGCTCTTTATTGTATGAGACCATGTCCTTTGAAGATCGTGAGCATACCGCAAACCAAAATGTTCTCAATACTGACTTACATTGTCGATCGAAATTAAGTATGAGAGGCATTCAGCAAGATCCATGATGACGGGATGGTAGAACACTTCATCAGGAAGGTCCACCCCCATTTCATATATGAAGAGGCATGGTATTAAACCAGCCGTATACTGCCGGAGCTTCAGGTAGTCATCGAGACTGCGCCTACGGCCTTGCTCACGGTCGAGGGCCTTGACAACCACTGAATGAAGGTATTCATCGAAGGTTTCAAGGAAGTGACATTGAGAAGGCAGGCTTGCGGATTTGATCGCATGAGCCCAAAATCTAGGCAAAAAACCCCTTTGGCTTCAGATAACTGTTAAACAATTCAGAAGCACTTACTGTCGCGCAATTTCGCCGATAATGCATTCACCTTCTGGTCGTATCTTATGGGGATTGTGTAGGGCATCGAGCACAATGTCCCTCAGTTGCTTTGTGACTGCCTCATCTTTGAAGTCGGTGTAGTCGTCGTAAAAGAAGAATAAATTCATCAAATCACAGGTGATTCAAAGTGTTATATTTTTCAGAAATGGAACCAGGGTTTTGTGGTGCATTAATTGCCAGAGTACGAACCTCTTGGTATGTTGGGATAAGCCAGTGCTGTTAGGTGCGCTATAAGAAAAATATGTGTTCATCATCGTCTGAATCTAGGGCTCGTGACATAGGCCGAACCAAGATCACATTTGTCAAATGCTTCTTGCGACTTACATCAGTGAATGCACGAGTCCTTGGAATTGTAGCCGTTGCAACTGTAGGATGATGTAATTCTGCTGTCACCAAATATGACTATGTATGCCACAATAACTTTGACTTAATCGTACTTTATAAACTTACTGTCCAAGTCCGCAACAAAGTCATGACAATCTGCCTTCGCAGATAGCAATGGATGTAAGCGTAATGACGTCCGTGTTTTTGAGTATTCTAACTTGCAACCATTTATGTCTCATATTAAGAGATTATTTAAGACTTTCCATAGGACAAAGACTTCGACCTTTCACAGCAGATAGAGATTGGTTTGATGATTTGTAACAAAATCGTTACAGGCTTTCTTCGCAGCCAGTAAGGGACAGAAGCTCACTAGCGTTGACGTCGCTGATTATTAAGAGTGTCCATCAAATATTGGCTCGATTTTAAGGTTATCTAAGACTTTCCCACAGGACAACGGCCTTTGCTGGAACCCTTGACAAGCGCCAGATGAGAGCCGCCCATGCTTCAATGTTATCGTTGGTGTCCGTAAAGACGGTGAGAGTTGGCAGCAGGCTATGGAGGATGGTTGGGTATGTTCATGTCGACTTTTCAGGCTCGCAGGCAACTCACGTAACATCAATATATCATGATTCATTAGATTCCCGGAGAAACACTTTTCCCCATCGAAGAAGCCATCAACCGCAGCACGATCATCATGAACACCCGCAAGGCTCTCGAATTTAACGGTCGCTCGACATTGCCAAAGAGCTGAAGGAGATCGACAACCAGGAAATTTGGCAGGCAGGCAAGGTTGTGCGGTCGCTGCATCCCGATTACAAGCCTGAAATGTTCGGGAGTTTCAAAGTGTTTGATATTCGAGGTAATATCGAAGGAACACCGTATAAGTCACAGTACCATATATCAGTGGTTTTCGAGCGCATATACGAAATGAAAATGTGTTGATACCGAACAATAGTAGTACATGAGCGATGAGAGATAGATATACAAGGATGGATTAAACAACTGTCGATCATGTGTTATGTTCGGTGGCGCATAGAGGAGATGCGCAACAAATGAAAAGGATTACATGGGCCCACAATGGGATGGATTTTGACTGCTTGTCAGAGGGTTGTGCACATGAGGTGCTTGTATTGGTGACAGGAGCAGGAGGTGTTGCAGATGTGGAGGCGATCACATGTGGTTGCATCTGAGATGGGGATGTTTGGCACTGGCCGTGGATCGGCCTTTTCTGCTGATACTTTAACTTGGGTTCTGGCCGCTGAGCGACGAATAATGGCTGCAGAGCAATCAGTGAATCTCTGAAAGATGCACCTGAAAAAATTCTTACTTGCTTGTCTCGCATCCTAACGACGCTCTGTAATGTGTACACTGGCACCGTGTAAGACGATGAACGATCCAATTGCCTTAGGTCTTCAGATTGCCTGCGTTGTCAGGTGTAAAGTCTTGTGTTGAATAGGAAATTGTCTCCCGGCCAAACGAAGGGCACCTAGAACATTGTGACACATCGGGCACACGTGACATACTCCAGTTCATCAGATGCCCGGGGAACGCGGTGCAAAGTTGAATTTGGAACTCTTGAAGAGCACGTCAGATCCTCGTGACCGACCTCGATGTCTTCGCAACCACTGGGAGGTATCCATCCAAGCATTAAAGAGGTATTCCACTGTACGGGTGAATTTGGCTGAGTGATATCTTCCCCATCTTCATCAAAGTAGTCGAGGTAGACATCCGTATCCTCGATGGATGCTAGCGGTGGCTTCTTGATAAGTGCATCCTTCACGACCTACAAAGTACTTACCAGCAGGTTCATCCCAGCTTGACACCTCTATGCCAGTGCACTGCGATGATGGCGCAGAAACATTGCCCTGGCTCTCTTGTTCCGGAATAACTCCAGGATCGGAGCACAAGATGTGCGCAAGAGACATTACGTTCGGCCAACGCAACGGTATGGGCTGTATGATTACATGCACTACAGCTTTCGCCATGACCTTCTCATTGGCCTCGTACTCTCTCACAATCTCCGCCAGTTCATCGAAGCTCGAGGAGGAAGTAGGACGCGCTGGCGAAAGCATAGTACGAAACGATCTCGAAGCTAAAAGAGTGGAAGGGTTTAAGGAGTGCATGATATAGATAGTGCTGATCGTTAAAGAGAAGAATACTAGAGCCAAAGCCCAGTACAAACCGATAGACTTTAACATAACTCGTTAATGTCAGCCCAATGTCACGAAGGTTGCTCGCACCTGGGTTTCATGAGTGAACGGCCAGAGAAGTGGTCATTATATTGGCTAGGACCATGAACGGTAGAATTACGAAGTTCTTCTGTTTGCACTTGCTGCTGAGGAACAGGATGATGGAGTAGGGTTTGATGGCCAGTTGGCCCACAATGCACTTACTGTACCTCCAAAAAGTGAACCTGTGTAGGGCAAGGTGAGTTCCACTACTTTATTTGAGGGAAGCTCGTATACGCTTCCGCTCGGCAATAAATCTGATGGATGCTGCGCTCCACTGAGCATTTGCAACAGAACTGGCGTCAGAGGGTTGTGGTACGTAACATTGTTGACCCTGAAGATACCATCCACAGTGGTGGCAAGTAAGTTGATGTGGACGTCTGCTTTGCCAATCTCGGGGAAACCGGGGACAGGGATGCTGAGCAAAGAAGCAAGCTTCCCTTCGTTGAATGGCAAGATGTAAGGTCCAAGAGTGCTCGTAGGATCTTCATCTGGCACACCATTGTACCTGAGGATGGCTTGACTCAAGCCACCTGCAAACATTTGATTTGCAAAGTTGTTAGGTGCGCGAATCCAGTAATTATCCACAGGCTGGTTCGCGCAGACGACAACAGAGTAGTGTTGGCCAGCGAGCACTGGAAGAGAATCCACAGTCTCAGGGACAGTTTCAATATCGTCTGCTTCAATAATCGTCATGGTATGGCCATCGATACTGAATTTATATGCTGGATCACAAGAAAGACCGATGATGCGGAACCGGCAACGCTTGCCCTTTTCGACATTGAAGACAGAAAGAGGTGATTTGGGTCCACCAGGATAGTGCCCCAGACCATTGATGAGGGTGGAGTTGGATGTGATGGGGCCGAAAATTTTGTTTAACTTGGGCGTAGGATCGTGGTACCTGAAGGAAGTGATAAGATTTGGAATGCAAAAGGCTGACAAGACAACTCGAACCAGTCAGAAAGTGTGATTATTGTGTTCTCTATGATACGCGATGAACCAGAGTAGTCACGAGGATGAGGTGGACGAATGTCCATATGTGCGAGAGGTGTATGTGAAGGCATGTGACAACTCTCGTCCAGCATTACAGGTGGTAGAGGACCACCTCAGAACGGACCAGGTAATGATCTAGAAGCGGGAGCAGGTACAGAGGGCGGCAAATGAAGATTGTCACCACTAGGCGGGCCGTTTGACTGAGGGCGGAAGATTGGGAACAAGTTGACATCGATAGCAGCGGGCTGGTGAGTCCTGGAGGGGGAACAACGGTGCTGGCATAAGCGGTCGGGCGCACATCCTGAGAGCCCATTCAGTAACATTTTCCGACTTAGTCGGACAGCCAAAGGTTGAGATTCTGCCCAGGTAACCGGGCCATCCAAGGTGGGCCCATGGGTGGGTGGGAGCGGGTGGGCCCACAGTGCAGAAATCACCGACACTGGCGGCTGGGCTGAGGTGTGAGGTCCATAGAGATGAGTGGGCCCAAAATGTGTGACCTGGTAGGCCTGCATGCTTGAGGGTGAGAATGGGCCAGGCGGATTTGCGAAAATTTTGACGGATGGGCCCAGCCCGCATGTATGTGTACATATGGGCTCGGGAAACAGGGCAACGGATGGGCCCAAAATGTGTGACCAGGTGGGCCTGCATGCCTAAGGGTGAGAATGGGCCAGGCGGATTTGCGAAAATTGTGACGGATGGGCCCAGCTTGTAGGCATGCTCAGGAACAAGGGCAACGGATGGGCCCAAAATGTGCGACCGGATGGGAGTGCAATGCCCGAGGATAGGCCCAGCGGATTGCATGTAATCTTGAAAATCACCACGGATGGGCCCACCGTGGATTTCATCTCAGAAAAGGCAAATTGGGCCAGTGCATATGCAGATGCGGTCTCGGAAACAGTGACGGATGGGCCCAGTCCGCTGTGTTTGAACTCGGAAAAGGCAACGGACGGGCCCAGTCCCCCATGGATAGAATAACTTCGGGTGGAGTCTCGGGGAAGGCTATGGATGGGCCCAGAACATGCTTATTTGCTCGCGAAAATGGTGGCTGATGGGCTGAATGTGCTTGGAAGAAACTCAGGAATAGACCCTTCCACCCATGACTGTGGAATCGGAAAGGACGACGGATGGGCCCAGCACTCGTCGTATATAGCCGAGAATGGTGGAGCCCGTAGATTTGGTCTCGGCGAAGGCGACGGGTGGACTCAACGTGTGTGTATTCCCAAGAATGGTGATGGATGTGTGCAGCATGTATGTTGCATGATGGAAGGGGCTATGGATGGACCATCCGTCATCCCTTGCGATGGCGATGATTTCCGGGCCCATCGGGCAAAGATAACAAATTGGTCAGGTGGCAGACAGAACCTTCATGTAGTTTGTGCTCGACCAGAGCGGCAGATAGGCAAAGACCCTTACCGACCCAGGGTTCTGATGACGTCCCAATGATGGGTCCGCCAGGCACTTCCGATATCCTATTTGCGCCTTGGCAGAATATGGCATATCGTCCGCGGGGCTGACGCCATTTGATGAGCCATTAACATTAGCTGGGCCATCCGAGATGCCCTTCATTAACGAAGAGTTGGCATCGCCAGACCTGTCCGATATCCTGTTTGCGCGAGGGCCAATTATGCTTCCTCCGTCCCGCTCATATGTCCGCTGGGCCATTGATTTATAATCGGCTAGGCCGCCATCAATGGAACCTCGGACTGTCACAGACATTGCTCTTGATGCCTTCCTCTATTCATAATGTTTGCTGTCTGGAATGCATCGGGATGTCCGAGCGATCTTTTGCACAAGACTACGATCTCTGGCTAGAAGTCAACACAGCTGACGATGTCCTTATTATGCGATTGATGCATCGGACACAAACCGCATGGGTGAGA